AGCTGTCGGAATTATACAGGTCGCTGTTCTTTTGTTGTTGATCTTCTTCTGGGACTGTATAAGTTTGATAACTCGGAAGGGCATCCAAATAATCACGGTAGTCGACCAATCGCCTCGTTCCTTACTTCAACGTACGTTTTCGATTACCTTAGAGCAAGCAGCCATTTCCACCTTTGCGTTCTTTCCCAAACCTGCACGCATCAACTGCTGAAGAAAGAACCTGAAACCTCTGAAACATCAAGAAATAAGCATCACAGTCTAACACTCAACTTTAATTAGGACCGAATTATCCCATCGGTTTGTATATACATCCAAGTCAAACTCGCTGGCGTGTCGTGACAGTTTTGAGGCTCGTTTGATTATTTATATAAAGGCAATCAAGTGCCAGATCTAAGTTGAAAGTATCAGGTTTTCCCTTCCTTATCACATCCTGGCGACAGTTTTGATTCAACCAGGTTAAAAGATTTGGAGATAGCAATATGGCGCAAAAGCTCCGTCTAAGAGGCTAACAAAAGGAGCAATTACCGTCAGATGGAGGACCAAGATATCCTAGTGGCTGGCTACCTTCCGGCTGGCAAGTAATTCCCTGCATTGCTGCACGAAGAAGGGTTGCTCAGGCTAAACCTCATTGCTCCCGCTCACGTCAGTCCGAGCCTGCTGGTGGATTGGTAATGAGATCAGGCGTACTGACTGAAGTGAAATAAAACTCCGTCTATCCTGTGCCGCATGCACTTATGCTGACACGGCCTGACACAGAGTCCTCCACTGAAACAGGGATGACTCGATAGTCTCAAGGTAAGCGAAAATCAGTCAACCTTGAACTACTCTCGGACGATGTTCCAAGGTATGAAAAGTTTCATGTTATATTGTTATGTCCAGAACCGACCCATCTCCTTGTCAACTGATTCGACTGTTTAGGTTTTTTAAGCTGTCGGTACCTGCTGATATTTCACATTTCCCTGGCTAGTTGTAGTGTGTCGCACAAACTGCACCGATACATCTGTGCAAGTATTGGTAGCTGGAGGTCCGCATCCACTTAGCTCAGCTTTTTAGATAGCTATCTGTGTGGCTCCGAGACCAAGCAGGGGACATCTTTATTGTGCAACTAATTCGAACAGCAGTCTAGGTGTCCTCAGAGTTGTCATGTGCCGTTTCGTTGAGCGAAGAGGTTCGGAGGTTCATATTGCTAAAGGTAGTCTTGCATTTCTTAACAGGACCCTCACCGGGTCAAGCTTGTGAGCTGTCTTACAGGTTCGGTCGGGCAGATGTTATTTGCAAATTAAAACAGTCGTTGTGTAGAGATTTAGAAGACGTCTGAATAGCATCCGATTTCACTGCTTCTAGAATACCAAGTTAAACTTTGAAAAAAAATCTGTTTTATAGACAGCGCGCCGTTGTGGTCGCTCTCTCTCTTCCTGCGATTGTGCATGAACGTTTGTAGAAGTCAAAGTCCAATGTGGATTCGAAGGAATGTAGTCAGTTGTGCGTTTATTGTGAGATAGTGTTAATCGATACATGCACTATCTCGAACCGACTCGTCTTCACCCTCGGTCAGACCTATATTTTATATAAAGTTGACAGGCAGCAGGCAGTTTTGTGAATTGTCCTCGGATAGGTCGTATGCGAGATAGAGAATATGGCCAATTGCAGAAACTTGCCGAGCTGTTAATTCAGTTTATGCGACATTACAAAATCGAACATAGGCAGTCTCCGTGTGAAGGAACCTGATTAGTTCAATTTTCTGGCATGTCAGTACT